TATATATATATATATATATATATATATATATATGGCATAGAATTGTTTGTTTATCTCTTTCTGGATAATCTTTTAATGAATTTTCTCTCTTTTCATATGGTTTTATGAATGTTTAATTCTATTCCTTTGAAATTTATTTCATGTATTTATATTGATTCTGATAAATCTGTACTCAGATTTTGTTCATTCGTGCTTTGGGATCAATTTTAAATTTTGTTTCTTGCATCGGTATTTCTTATTTTTATAATTTTAGAGGTTGTGTATGAAATATTCTTTTATCATATATTCAATGTAAGTGTTTCACTTTTACAATTTTATTAGAGAATATAATTCCATAGAAATTTTGAGTAGTTCTTTCACGACATCTTTCATGTGATCTTTCCATCTATTATCAGAAAGGTTTCGGATATGGATATATCCTAGGAATGTTACATGCGACATTGGCTGTCTTAATGGGTTCGAGCTACGCTTGGATGGATCCGACCCTTTAACACCACATATCAACGACTATGTGGTCGATGATTCAACACATCAGCTCATATCATGGCGTTCTAAATCGGAACACCACCAATAGTCCCTCGACTTGAGCCCCCGGGGTCCACTTATCACCTTTAGACGAGAACGATCTAATCGTGGGTGGATCCGTGCCCACAATGAAAAGAAAGAGAGAGAGATATGAGGCCAAGGCAATGGAGTACACATTCGATGTCTTGGTAGGTGGGAAACACAACCCCCCCTGGTGGGATCTTAGTCGAGAAATGTATCACCTACGTCAATCCCGATGACCGAGCACAAGATCACAATGGGAGGGCGGGTGTTCTCACGAAAGACGAAAGGTTCGAAGCTAGAAATGGAATAGAAGGGAAGGGAAGGTTTGAAGGTTCTTCTCCACGGGCAAAAAATGATCGAGAGCAATGATGAAGGAAAAGGTGAGAGGTGTCAGGACAACCTCGACCTACTGATACAGCCATTGGAGTACTCTCTCTCTCTCTCTCTCTCTCTCTCTCTCTTCCCATAGAGAAGGCTCACACACGTGCCCATGCAATTATTGCACCCTCTCCCACTGCCAACCCGTAAAGTGGCCGAGTTGGATGCAAAAGCAAGCAACCTAACAAAGCAAGAGAGGACGGAGGAGGGTGTGATGCGTACCTGTTCGAAGCTTATTGGATACTTTGAATCAGTGCATATAAGAAGAATACGTACTTAACGTACCTCCTCACGTATGCATAATGCGGTGGTACGAAGAAGTCTCTTTCGAAGGAACCCAGTTCTGTTCAAGAAAAAGGTATAGATATCAGCAACTCAGCATAACGAATCTAGCAATTCACACGCATCAAATTGACAGAATTGGTCGTACATTAAAGCTAGGCATACATATATATTATTAGCCTGACGATAATCTTTAAGGTTCTGCAAGAGACTGACAGCATGGGCAAGCTGGTAAAGTTGGCATGTGGGAGATCATTATATAAGGAGGCTAGTCACTACACCATACTCCGCCACATCCTTTTGCTCTTGGGTTATCTGTCTCTCTTTTGGTCCTATGGAAGAGGATGATCAAAGAGAACTGCGGCTGCTACTCTCCTCCTCCACCCGACCTCCCTCTCATGCACCAAAGTCCTCGGCTGGAACGGACACATCTGACCATCCGCTACTTGATCTTAATCTGTCAATGAGTATCAGCACACTGCAGCCATCTGCGACTGAGGAATCCCACGGCTATGCGAGGAGTCTGCAACTATTGAAGCAACAAACTGCAGAGCAGATCCGACTTGCAGCTGTAGAGAATGCTTATGCTGAACAGATAAGAGAGCTGACAAGGAGGGAGCTAGAGTTGGCTGAGCAAGAGTTTGCCCGTGCTCAGCTGGTCTGGGAGCGAGCCAGAGAAGAGGTGAAGAAGGCCGAGAGGATGAAGGAGATAGCCACCAGGAGGATCAACTCTGCATGTTTGGAGATCACTTGCTACAGTTGCCACCAACGGTTCCGGCCGTAGCAGAACCAATTCAACATCACTCTTCAGCTGTATATGGATCACAACAATGAAGCGATCATTCCTCCCCCATTCAACTCTTCCAAGATGACATCCCCAGTCAAAAGTCATGTGCTATCGCCGTTGCCGTACTGATGATGTCCTTAAAAATTTTCTTTCCCCATTGTTAATAACAAGCTAAGCCACTTGAGCTAAAATAAGGAAATTGGTATTGTCATAAAGGAAATGCTGTTCCAATTGCAAAATTGTTGACATGCTTCTAGTTGACCTGTCTGATATTGATATTTATTCTTGAGCTTTTTATGTAATCCATGAAGCAGCGATCATCTTCACCCGAAAATTGTGACAACAGATCAGAATTCTCTGCATGCTCGTCGTCTATGAAGATCCGAGGAACTCCTGTTCAAATAGAAACCAGAACAGAGTTAAAACAGTCTCCAATACTTATTGCTGTTATTAACAGCAATATATGGGGAAAAATCAAGTAACAACCACAATTCTAAAATCTTCAGATTATCGCCCATCGTCAAAGTATTAATGAGCTCAGTGTCGCTTATAATGGCCGGTAGCTTACAGACCATGTTACCACAAAGCAAGAAGAAAGAAAGAGAACCTTTTCTGCTTATGGCTGCAGAATCAACTCTTTGTTATTTGTAATTGAAATTAGTTCATTATAATAGTGTGTTAATCTCCTGGGAGGAATCTTTCACCTGCCTCAGAGCGCAAGAATGGCAACTTACATGACAACGCAACCTCCAGCACAATTTGGTAACATAACCTACTCTCAGCTAACATCTGCAACCTAGATCGATATAGCTCCCGATGTAATATTAGACAATCTTTAGCTGGTAGAGTACATAATACAATTTAACAACAATGGTAAAGAAACCAATTGTCAGCTATGTGCTCACCCATTACCTGTATGATTGCAACAAATTCAAATCTTGACACCACCTCTTGTTGCAACCACCCTGTACATGCTTCTTCACGTAAGCTATAAGACTACCAAAGGGTTTTCGACATGGATGTTGGGAGAATTGGTCGACTACAACCCACCTTGGACCCAAACACACAAGTGATGTGTGCATTACTAAAACACCGTCTCAACAAGAATTATCAGAGCGATATGAATATGCTAATTATGCAAAAGAGTGGATCGGCAAAAAATAAAATACAAGGATCTTAACACCAAAAGAAAAAATAAAAAAAAAACAGAAATGAGAACTAACCATGGAAGCACTCTCTTGCTTGCCCAGCCATAAGTATGATGTCTCCACTACGAAGGAACATGGAAACAGGCATATCCTCTCTAGATTTTCCCCCAAGAAGAAAAATAGCTTTGCACCCCAGGCTATAAGAGATTTACGAAGCTCATGAGCTTGTTACTAGATGCTTAACAACCAAGGTCAATTTAAGGCAAGCATACCTTATGCTTACAATAGGCTTACTCCAATCCGCTTCCATGTCATCAAGATGACCACCAAGCATGTCACCTGCAAAGAATCTCTCTTAGGTTGTTACATCATAAATCAGTGGAACCAACATACCAGTGGTACCATCTCTTAACCAACTAGCAATAGAACTGTGGGGTTTTAGATATGTTGTGACATACTTGGACCAAAATAGTTCACTATTGCAGCTTCGGGCTGGAATTCTTCCCCTGATGACATGGCTGGTACTGCCATCTTCTTGGCAAGAAGACATAAATCATTTGGTATCTTGTTATGAGGGAGAGATACATCATAGTTGCGCTACATCATAACAAACATAAACCAAGAGATAAGTGATGACGCAACACAAAAAAGCAAGCAAGGACCACATGTGAATAGGATATGATACCTATAAAGCAAAACATTAGTCAAATTGATGAACTTCCAATTCTGGATAAAATTATCCCAGCATTTCTGAAGAATGTAAGTTTTCCAGAAATGTGGCAGTTATATTTCCTTTTTCTTGCATAAGAAAGATGCACTCAATATGATCATCTTTGTCTTTTCAACAAAAGTTAAAATTGCAAACAGGTAAATCAGCTGAATCAGTGTACTTAACAATGTAATGTGTATTCTCTAGCATTTCTGAAGATAGGTTTGTAATAGGGTTGGTTCTTTGTCACATTTTGCATAAAAAAGATGCACTCAACCTAATCATCCTCCAAAAGCAATAATTCCAAACAAGTAAATCAGCAAACTGGGACAACAGAAAGCACTCCAAATACTAGTAAATCTCAAAGCATTCATTATAGGCTTAATATAGAAAGTATATAAATGAAACTTAACTGCTATTAAAAGTTTTGCATTCTTACATGAGCAAAACCCATCTCTATGAAGGAGAAAAATTAATGCGCCAAAAGTACCAAAAGAAACATCCCGATTTCCAAGCAAACAAAAATCAGGAATAAGGTTCTAATTGACTTAACAATAACCACGGTGTTTTCTGATAACCGACCAAGCAAGGTATGTAACAAGAACGAATTTTAAAGCAGGCATCTTCTTTTAGTAAGTGTCAAGCACATGTACTCATAAAACTATGATAGCAAGCTACTGCGAACGGGATATCACCGTTTCAACTTTCAAGTGCCCTCCGTCAATTGGAATTCCAGATATATAAAACATCATTTAACTCTATTTTGCTTCATTCTTAACCTTAAGCATTTTATCTTCAGTTGCTAAAAATGATATATAAATACAAATTTTCTTTTGCATACAAAGATACATTTTATCCTCTATAACTATTCGATACCCAAATTATAGCCAAAATTTATTTCCCAATGGACATCTATATATCTACTAAAAAAAAAAGGTGAACTCTTCACTTAAATGGAAATTCACTATAATAATATTAATGATAGATGACAACGGCATATAAATACAACAATTTTCTTTTGAATATAGAGACAGATCATTTCATCCTATATTCCTATTCTATACCCAAACTATAGTCAAAAAAATTTTCCCAATGTTCATCTATGATTCTATATATCTACTTCAAAACTAGAGGAACTCTTCACTGAATTGGAAAACAAGTAAAATACAAAAATGAAACCTCAATGTACCTTAGACCAGTCAAACTGTAGGCCAAGGGTACTCCAACGCAGTTTTCTTAGGAGAACTGATGCTGAAACTGATTTGCATGAATCATGCCCCTCTACATGTGCATCAAGACTTGTTTCTGAAAAGATATATCTAGGTGCAAGCATATTGTTGTCAACCAGACTCACGTTTGAATTTTCTGCTTCCACCAAAATCTTCTTGTTTTGAACAGCAGTTAATAAGTACGAAATTGGGCCATAAATAGCTGTATGGTTTGTTCTGTTAGGAGGCTGAGGAAAACTAATCAAACTCTGCCTGATCCAGTAGCACTGTTCTTCAATAGTCAATGCACATGGAATAAAATAAAATCCTACATGAAAATAACAAATATGAACCATATCAGCTAATGGTTTTATAACTAGAATCAAGGTTCTAAAGAAAATAGCTGATGCACATCTCTTGTAAGTAGCCAGATGTATAGGACAAGAATAAGACTACAAATAAAAATGTGAAACTGCCAGCAAAGATATCCCAATCCTATGGCATCAGATTTTTCTATCTGACGTTAAGATAGAAATACTGATCGGCAATCAGCATTGCCAGGAAACTGTATATATAAATAATAAGAATAAGAGAAAATACCCAACATCACATTTAATTTTCAAAATCAACAAATGTTTAAAAACATCTGATGTATTCACAAAGCTGAACAACTCATGATGGTGTCAACCATTAATCCTGACACCACATTGTCACGGACAAACTTTTAAACAAGGTGTTTGATGTAATGCTTATGTATGTCCGTGTCTTTTGGCATGTTCATGCCTTGTACAGCATGTAGAGGGGCGGCCGAAGGCTCAATAGTCCCATTTTAGTTGGGTTGGTGGCCTCTTTAGGCTTGTAAATAAAGGTTATGTCATGTGGACACGTGCGAGAGATTTCGGTCTATAATGGACCATTTTACCCTTTGTTGTGCCACTATTCAGAGCTTGTAAAGTCTGTTTGTAATTTGCATTGTCTATGAAGTGTTTTCCGGAGATGTTTGCTTGTGGATCCCGATTGAGGCGTTCTCTCTAACCCGTTCTCTCTCTTTTGGTGGTCCTAAGGGACAATGGGAGGCTTCGGGGAGGCTGACCTTTGCGGACGGACACGCAAGGGTGCCGCACGACTTAGGCAAAACCAGCTAAGTCCGTGACAGATGGTATCAGAGTCGGACAAGCACTCATAGAAACACTTAGCATGCAAACGTGGGGAACCTAACGGGGCTGCGTTGAGGGCAGTCAGCACACGCGCAACCGTTTGGGGGAAAACGGGCATGGAGATGTAGGGAAAAAGAGTCGCTCAGAGGAGCGGGCATCTGAGATTGGCATTCAGAGAAATGGCCAACCCTTCGCGCAAGAGGCACCACGAGAACAGGCAAGCTTGGAAGAATGTGGAGCGCACAAAGGTTGGGATGGCTGAGTTTGAGCTACGGCTCAACGTTGACAACTATACTTGATGGTGCTCAAGCTAAGCGAGGCGCTTGGTAAAGGATGAGACCATTCAAGGTGGAATGAGTTGCTCAACGACCAAAAGAGTTATGCAAAGCTCACAGAGGTGAGGGGAATTGCTAACTCGAAGAATTTGGTACTCATGCATGGGCTTGTATGCGAACGATGGAATGTTCGTGGCCATCCCAAGGCGACCGAAACTCGGCGCCATGGAGCATTGAAACTTTCTCTTCGGCATGTGAAGGATACGTCCGTAGGAGGTTGAACTGTGCAACGAGTTCAGCATGTTGCTAGGCCTTGAGTGGTGCAGCGGGGGCTGTATTGACGTGGAGTCGCAATCTAGCAAGTGCGTTTGCAGGAGGCAGAACAATGCACAGTTTGTTCAGCAGATCGGAGTAGTCCAAGGGGATGGTGGTCTCCGAAACGAAGAGAGATGTTGCTCCAATGAGACAGTTATCCATGAGGGATAAGTCCCAGCTCTCCAGAGGGAGAATTAGGTGAGACGGACCTCACATGTTGAGGAGGAGTACCTCAACAAACAACAACTCCACGAAGCTCGATGGACTGAGCAAGCGGCGAGGAGTCGTCGCATGATCTCGCTTAAGAGAATGCATTGGTGGATGCATTGCGAGATCAAGTCGTCACAAATGAAGGCACACTTGGAGTCGATGTGGAGATCGGACTCAAGGGAGGGCTGACCCGTGGAATGGTGGGCGCGAGGGCCATCATCGACTCAATG